GTGGTCGGCTTTGGGACTCGGGGACTAACCCCGGAACCTCCCAGTCCCTTCCGGAACTTTTATTGTGGTAAGCGACGTTAATCTCGCTACAATGGGGGCCCACTAGTAGAAATGCCAACGTAGGGGTCGTACTTAGTAGGGATGGCGAAAGACAGTTGTGCCGAGGGAGTACTTTGGGGGAGGGAGGGGAAAGGATTGTATGTGATAAGAATTCCCACCAATCGACAGTGTGCCCTGCACTGAGCTCCCTCCCACCAGAGTGTATAATAAAGTGAATGAAAGACGTGGGAAGTTCATATCGCCGAAGAGATCAGGTAGTTGTCTACCAGTTCAATAAATATTTATTCAGCGAACTACATTAGGTCTGACTGAGGTCCTTTCTTCAGAGATCCTGTCTTCAGTGATTTACTCTCGTTTCGTCTTTGTATGTGAGCTCCAAATTGATCACCCCAACGTCGACGGTTTTCTCTGGCGTCAACCCGGCTGTGATGTACTGGTCTGGTAGGCCAAATCGCAGCTTTCTCATCCCACTCTGGAAGAAGCAGAGTAACTGTAATGGAAAATGAAACGGAGCTACAAATCTCATGGTTGGGAGAGTGAAAAATTCTCCTTGCGCTTAGGAGTCATTCTTGTCCAATCAGATGTACCGCTGCTAGACATGTTTTGCGAATTCCGAAGCTCCTTCCCTTTTAGGCCTAGGCAGAAGTTCTCATCTCCATTGCGGAAATCCCACTTTTGCGGAAGAAACCCCTCGAAGTCTGTTTTGCAGTTACTTATGAGAATCAAAACATTCAATAGGGCGAGGTTGTACGAACCTCAAGAAGAACTGCTGTACAAGCTCTGCCTCAAAGGTTGTAAGGTACAGGCGCAGGCGCAAGGTGATTCCGCCCGCGTTGGTAGCTGTCGTTGCTCGTTTGCTTAGCGAGCAAGCGTTTAAGGTACCACCCCAGCTCCACCTCCCTGCCCCCAGCCCGATGTTATCAGCGCCAAACAACTAGATTAGCGAAAATGAGCGAAATGACCCTTCAAATGAGTTTCCACATTAAAACAAAGAAAAACCGAGAGTACGTCCCCACATGGGTTTGCTTTCTATCCTTTTTTTGTTTTTTTAGCAGCTTGAGGTTTAGCGCTCAAATCAAGATTAACCAGAAAACTTCACTATGCATACCAGGACTTTCCCAGGACTGAAAAAAACGTGCTTCGTTCGTAACACTAGAAAAAAGGCTACTTGATTCTGCTATGTCAAAGAGATTTTCAATGAAATATGTATCACAATGCTTTACTTCAAGACTTTCATTTAGAAGGCTTTCGCAACTCACCTTGATTCCATCATTGCAGTCAGTATAGATCTCTAAAACAGGCTCCATCGCTGTGAGTTCCTCTGTTGCTCCGGCCAACCGAAACTCGCCGCTACTGTCAGAATATCCCTCAGCCAGCACGTCATGCGGATCAAGCCATGACAATATTGCCAGGTCTGGAGAGAAAAAGAAATGTGAACGTCCACTGAAAGACTAGTATTACCAAAATCGCATTTTTTGCATTGGCTTATGCGCAGTAACGAAAACGGTGATATTCTGAGGGAACTAGAGTCCCTATGTGGCACCTCCAACGACGGAGAATATTTCTCCAATGACTCGACACATGTACATGTATGACTTCACCCCACCCTGTGGGAAAGTATAAACACGACAAGCCATCAGACGTCCACTGCAGTTACGTATGCTTTCCGTCTGCCTACCCATTTCCTATCGTTACCCACTACTCACTTTTCCAGCTCTCTTGGCTTATTTGGGACTAAATTACGAAATCCTGATTCGAGCCACGTTCACAGTAGGTGTGCCTCAACCATCTATTAGTCCCTACCGTTTCTCACCTTTTCCGCTCTCTGGGCTCTTTTGGAACCGAAAGTACGAGTTTTTGAAAGTTTGTAGGCAAGCACCGCCACGGCTATGGCACGTTTCTGCCCGTGATGAAGCGCCCTACCTCATTCGGTCCGCCAATGATTGCATATTGCTTGCTCATTTTCCACTCTCGGAGATCCCCCTTTGGAACGCAAATTACCGAATTTTTGAATTGTAAGCTCACAACTGTCGCACGCCCCGGCCACAGTGGTGGGTGCCAGCTCAGTTCACGTGTTTTCCTACGTTCTGGCCCATGCCCTACCCATCCCACCCTTGACCCGACCCCTCAACTTGGCTCTTCGGGTGATGCCGAATTTTCGGCCAGACACAGACACACCAGCGAGTCGTCTCTTTGAAAAAATACGGGCAAGTTACTCTCCCCCTGGAACAGAAAGTTCCCTTTGGTCGAAAGTATACATACTTCCTCTACAAGTTGGCGAACTAACACTTCTTCTGAATGCACTCGGCTTCGTTCTGATAATCTAAAAGATTTTGAGTACCTACGCCGATCAACAGGAAGCAGCCGAACAGCAGGAGAATACTGTTCCACAGCAACAAGCTTGCTACAACCTTTAGGCACACCAACGCGTTCTAAGGAATCTGCAGGACAGGTGGGATATAGAAACGCTAGAGAGCTGCCTACTGGGGGCGGGGGTAATGAATTGGTAAAATATGGAAATTCTCGAAAAAAATATTTGGGCAATATGGCCGCTGGCCCCCGTCGTAGATCCAGCGAAGCAGGCCGATCCGACTGGCCCGTTCTTTGGAAATATGTATGTGGGGGCAGATCCACTTCACACGCAGAAGGAGGGTCCGACTGGTAGTTTAAGATTCAGGAATGGCAATCTTTACAAAACAAATGCAAATTAACGCTGTTTAACAGTCTTCATAAAATCGCACTCGCTGGTGTGGTTCTATTTTCACGAACATTTCTGAATTCACATTCTGAATAAGCTTACCAATATCTTCGTCGATCAACATCATCCGTACACCAGCGGCTGGTTGCTTTCCGCAAACTAGTCGTCCTGCGACAGCGATGGACTGATCACGAGTGGCGATGACTGTGGAGCTTACAAGAAATAGAACAACACAAAACAGCATCTAGTACACCTGCCATCAATGAAGAACAAAGAAGAATACGAGGGGAACAATGCAAAACCGATTCACGAGTGAGAAAACCTCGGACTCGGTTTGCAGAACACCCCGGAGAACTTATACAAAAGTACTCCAACTTTTTTTTCAAAAGATAAATCGGCGCTGTTTGTCGACGGGGGGGGGGGCATTTTGTACTATCATTGCTTCCTCAGTTCCGGTTTACATGTCTCTGGCGAAACCTGTGAACTCTTGTGAAGCTGGAACAAGGTAGTCAAGCCATCATGTTAAAACCTGTCAACTCGAGAAGAGGCTGTCTAGATAGGTCGACGATGGGAAGTAGCAAAAGTGCAAAATGCCCCCCGTCGACGAACTGCGCCAGATAAATCTATTCAGACGTCTACAGGATGAGTTGCGCGCCTAGGAGACTACCTACCGGGATAGAGCATCATTGAAAGAATCCCAACTGAGCCGGAGAGGTGAGGGGGGGGGGCGTGTACGCCAATGTCGGTCCTATCTGGTCTCAACAGAAATTTTTCCGAGCCGCAGGGGAAATTCCTTGTGCTCTTGACATTCCGCGGTTTTTCTTGTTTCTTGTATGTTGAACTTCCCTGTCCCCCCCCCCTCCCCCACCCCGCCGACTTGGAGGC